GACCCCCAGAGTGTGCACATGAGTACCGGTTTACCGTTAGTCCCATAGCCAGACCAGTTTTTTCATATATATGTTGATTCCATAGTTTATTATTAATTGTGCTGAGTATATTAGTGTCGGTCCCGGCGGAGCACCGTTGATTCCTTTGTGCTCACGCCTCCCCACTACCCTCTTTTTCAGGTGACGGAGTCCTGCGTGCAGCGTGAGCCGGATATGTGGTGGTGGTCATCAGTCAAGATATTTGTGTTATGTCATGTTTTGAATTGTTTGAATTAATTATGCTTTATTTACGTTCGTTTGTTGCATGTTTGTCTCGATGTTTGAATTTAAATTTGCTTCCGCACTATAGAACAATATTTCAGAATTTCAGACAATTCGGCGCAATGGCCTCTGTCTGGCCACATTCAGCGATTTTTTTTTTTCAAAATCCGCCGAAGCTGGACATTCGAGCTTCAACGTTGATTTTTTTGCGCCACTACATCTGAAGGAGGTTTATACCGAACATGGAGGTAGAGGATGACGTCGGAGACGAAGACGAATGGTGGCAAATCGGGATCAACCCAAACAAACATGCCACAAGCATCAGCTGACTGTCATAAATCAAAATAACACAGAGGCAAAACGTCATGTACATTCATGTTACCAAACCATATCATTTTCTATAATCGACTAATGAATATTTTTATTTTTCATAAAAGTGGATTAGATCCTTAAACCATCAAAAGTCAATGAAACACCTCAAATAAAATAAATCGCAAAACAAAATAACCTTTCCACAATTTGTTATAAGAAATGTACCTTCCACCGACGACATTTCAAGAACCTTCGAGCCGGGTTTTCATTCGTCATTGAGATCAACACAATGCATTCCTCACCATGATCACATAGCCTAATCTCCAACGGACTCTTGTTGGAGGATTTGTAATATCGGTTGATTGAACTTGTGTGCGAAGAATTTGACATGGGGTTATGTGATATCGGTTGTTCCAAAACCACATAAACAACAAAAATAAACAACAATCATAGGCCAAAACATCATGCATATTCTTCTCTTTTTATCCACAAATTTGAAGCCAAATCTAACAAATTATTTAGGCCATAAACTATGAGTATAAAAATATGAAAATTCAAGAATGTACACCATATAAACTCAGCTATATGGATCACAAAGCAATACAAAATCACTGGCTTTGAAACTGCTGCCTTTAGCACATAATCTCAGCAACAAACATATGTGAACTATGCTTAGCAAAATCACAACAAAAGAGGCCAACATACAGCACAACATGCTTCTCTTTCATCTTTAATTTTTCAACACTTCAACAATTGTTTATGTAGCCTTATAAACTGAGCATAAGAATATGGTAAAACCACACTTAGCCTGCTTCATAACACCGTAAAAATCGGCAATTAACATGCTCAACACAAGGCCAAAACAAAAGATTAACAAGTACTTTTATTTTATACCTTTTTTCTCATAAACCATCATGAACTTAGGCCCTATAAACTGAATTAAAGCTCTCGAATTCAAATAATCGAGACAAGAGAAACACCCAAATAATTTCATGAAAAAAGACAAACATCGAAACAATTTCAAAGACGACGTTCAATCCATTCAAATGAATTCTTCAATCAAGGTAATAAGAGCAACCACAATTCATTAATGTCAATGAATCAAAAAACCCTCAAGAAAAAAGGCAAAACTGAATAATCAAGGCACTAATTTTAGCAACCACTCATAATTAGGGTTACAAAATCCCTCTTTCCTTTTAGAATCAAAACCGAGCTCGCAACCGCTCATAATTGGGGTTAGAAAATCACACAAATTTTATAATATTGAAGGTAATTTTGTGAAAAAAAAATTGATAGTATTATACCTAGAATGAAAGAGCACGAATCTGACGGGATGCCGGGATGACGGAATGACGTCGTCCTCGTCTGTGTAATGTCGTGCTCCTGGAATGCCGTCGTCGCCGACGTCCACTGCGTCTGTCGTCGACTCCGCCCGGTGACTTCCAATTTGGGGATCCTGTAAAATGTCGAATGAGGTGAATAGGGGTGGGATTTTAAAACCGGAAAACCGAGCTGGACCGAACCGAAATTACCCGGTTCGGTCCGATTATTCGCTAAAAAAATTGCACTTTCTCGATTCGGTTCTTTAGGCTAAAATTGGTTCCCGGTTTTCGGTTATTAACAAGTGTCCGTACACTTAACCGAGGAACCGAACAATTGCCCTATATATATTATATAAGTGGACACCTCACTTGGCCCAGTTTAAGTTTGTCCGAAGCCCACTAAGAAATTAGTTAAGTTTGCCCAACCCAACTCAATGTTTGTTACTTATTTTCAATTTTTCGATTTTTCCTCATTATTCAATATTCATTATTTCATTAAAATATAAAAAAATTTCTCTCATTTCTCACATTCTCAAATCTCACTTTCTCTCTCTTCGAACTTCAACAGAAAAAGAAAAACCCTAATCCCAAATTCCCAATTTCAATTTTTCTTTTCATCCGACCATCCTTCACAAATCTTCAATCTTTTGTCATATTTCTTACTTCTTATGGCATCTTCTTCCGATAAAACCTGTGATTCTCAAAAATCAAACAAATATCAAGATGAAATTGAAAACAAGAGCAAAAGGAAAAAAATTCAGAGTCAGAGGCTAATTTCAAAGAAAAAGCGGGGACGTGAGCAAACCGAGAGGTCCGAGACCAAAAAGAAATCATGGGTGTGGAAGCATTTTGCGGTCGTGAAGAAGCCACTGATGAAACGAGGAGGGGATAATGGTCCAAGTTGGATTAACCAACCGAGCTCAATGCAGGTATTGTGAATCTGACTTGGCTTGTAATTCAACGTGAAATGGAACTAGTACACTTCAGAAGCATTTAGAACTGCATTGTGATGGTTATCCGGGTAGTGCAAGAAATAATGTTTCTGGTCAAAAACATTTTTCAAGAGTTGTAGAGGGTAATGAATCGATTGTCACACACTGGACCCAAGAAAATTGCACTAAGGCAGCTGTTGAAATGATAAGTATAGATGAATTGTCATTTAGTGCTATTGAGAAATCAGGGTTTAAAAGATTTTGTTCAGTTGTTGTGCCAAAATGGAAGATTCCTTATAAAAAAATGGTGGTGAAACATTTTCTGAGCATGTATAATACCAAAAAAGAGTGTTTGAAAGATGAGTTGAGGAATCATTGTGTTAGTTTGACCACTGATACATGGACCTCAATTCAAAACATAAATTACATGGTAATTACAACACACTTCATTAATAGCAACTGACATATGCATAAGAGGGTGTTGAACTTCTGTGTGATTCCTAATCATCAAGTAATTACTATAGGGAAGATTTTAGAAAGATGTTTGCAGGACTGGTCTATCAAGAAGATTTTAACTATTTATGTTGATAATGCATCTGCAAACAAAGTGGCAATAGATTACATGAGAAGGAAACTAGGCAATGGTGAAAAACAACTAATTCTATGGGAAAGTTTCTTCATATGAGGTGCTTAGCTCATGTTGTCAATCTTATTGTCAAATCTGGCCTTAAATGCATGGATAAGTCGATTGCTTCAATTAGAAATGCTGTAAAATATGTGAGAAGTTCACCTGCAAGGTTAGAAACCTTTAGAGAATGTGTTAAAAAAGAAGAACTTCAGAGTAGAAAGGTGTGTGTTTTGGATGTGCCAACTAGGTGGAATTCCACCTTTATTATGCTTGAAAGTGCTATTGAGCTTAGGCAAGCATTTGATAGATTGGCTGAAGAAGAAGACACTAAGTATAAAAGTTATTCTGATGAGGATGATGAGGAAAATGAGGAAGATGGAGAAGATGTTCTAGGGATTGATTTTGGGAATGAACCTGTTGAACCTATAGGGGAACAAGGGACTGAAACAATTGAAAAGAAAGAAAGATAAAGGTGTGAGAGGGAAGAAAGTGGGGCCTCCAACTTATGATGATTGGGAAAAAGCTGCTACATTTGTGAAGTTTTTGAGAGTGTTTTTTGACGTCACTTTGAATATTAGTGCTTCAAGCAAACCTACTGCTCACAAAGCATTTCGTGATATTGTTTCATTAAAATGTGAGATTGAAGAGATTTTTGATGCCCCAATCACAAACCACAGCACAGATTATGAGAAAAAATTGTTCAACATGTCAGTCCAAATGAGGAGCAAGTACAACAAGTACTTTGATTCACTAGATGATGTGAATCAGCTCCTGATTGTTGCTTTGGTGTTAGACCCTAGGTTCAAGCTAAGGTATTTTACTAGAGTTCTTGAGAGGATGATGAATTATGATGCCTTTACTGTAAAGGTAAGGACAGAAAGGTTGAAAGAGTTGATTGTTACTCTTACTGACTTGTATGCTTCAATGAATGGTGTTCAAAGCTCTAACACAAAAAAGGCAGATGGTGATGAAACTGGGAGTGGAAGCAGGTACTTGTTTGTTGAAAGAGTTTACTTTTCAGTTTTCTGTTTTTATTTCAGATTTAGTTAGTTCTTTCATCTTGTTTCTCAGTTTCTGTCTTTCTGATTTCATTTACTTTTGTTATTTTATATTGTAGTTGTTCTTCAAACAAGCTGACAGGGAAGAAAGCAAAAATGATGGAAGATTGGAAAAAAGACCTTGAAGATGTTGATGATGTTGTAGTTGCTCATGAGGTTGACAGATACCTACTTGATCCAATTGAGAAGCCAGGTCCAGGAGTTGATTTTAATATTTTGTCATGGTGGAAGCTAATTGGAGGTAAGTATCCTAATTTTCAAGCACTTGCAAAAGATGTGCTAGCCATTCAAGTTAGTACTGTTGCTTCTGAGTCAAGTTTTAAGAATGGGAAAAGAGTTATTGATCCTCATAGGAGTTCATTAACTCCCAGATCAGTGGAAGCATTGATTTGTCTTCAAAGTTGGCTTAAGTCTGATTCAATCACAACCCTTGCATACACTCCTACCCCAGATGAAATTGAATGGCTTGAAAAAACTGAACAAGGTGAGTTATATAACTTATATTTACATGTGTAATTTGTTCAATCATCTGAGTACTGTCACTGATTATCCCCCTCATTTCTTTTTTTGATTTTTCTTTCTGGTTTGACAGAATTGGATCAAGAGGAGAGAGAGCATAGAGAGAAGTTGGAGAAACAGAAGGAAATGGAGTTGATTGAGAAGAAAAATAAAGCTGAAAAAGCCTCAAAAGGCTCTGATGCTGGAACTTCTTCCAAAATGAAAATTTGAAATGTAATCTGCCATTTAGCTTTTGAGTTTTGAACTTTGATTTGGAAGTTTGAACATTGAACTATGTAACTGATATATTATTAACTTATTATGGTTTATTGTGGGTCTGTGGCTTGTTGGAACTGTGGAGTGTGGAGTGTGGATTATGATTGTGACTGTGGACTCATGACTGAATTGTGGAATGTGGATTATGGATTATTGATTTGTATGGATTGTGGACTTTGGTCTTTGGCAGCTTGGTTTTGTAATTACTAATTTCAGTAATTTGTATGTTGGATTTGTGATTGATGACTTGATGTGGTATTGTGGTTCATGAACCATGATGATAGATTGATAATTTGTAGTTTTCACTTTTCAGTTTTGTACTAAAGCTTGTAAGTTGAATCATGTCATGGTGCTTATTTATATTTTGTAATTTGTGCTGATATGAATATATTATGACTTATGAGATAGTGGTTCATTATACAATTATAAGCTTGTTAACAGGTTCATATTTCATAACAGTTCAAGAATAACCAGTTTCTACAATAATAACCAGTTTTATACCCGATCATTAACGGTTTTAGCATTGTATCCGGTTAACCAAAAAACTGGAGGAACCAGACCGAAAATGGCCAGTTCGATTCTTTTCCGGTTTTTGATAAAAATTAAAGAGTAACCGAACCAAAAATTTACACATGCTTCAAATTTCGGTTCTCAAAATTTTAGATGATAACCGGACCAGTCCCACCCCTAGAGGTGAATGAAGAGGACAGATGAAGACGACTCGTGTATAAGGGTACTTATGTCAAATTGTGTTATATCATTTAATTAGTCCCACAAAGTAAATGTTTGATATATTATCAGAAAATTAGATCCCATGAAGTAAATAAGGGACAATTGCTGACGTGTAAAGCGGGGTGGACTAAATTGCCCATGCTGCAAAGTAAACGACGCCTATAGAATAAGGTCAACATAAAGAAGAAAAATATATAATTTTATAATAAAAATTTATACATTGATTATTTTTCCATGACCGTATTCATAAAAATAAAAATTAATTGTAGTCCAACGATAAAAAAGCAAATGATTGATTTAATAAGAAGAGATAATTACAAAGGGTGTTGTTAAAT